CATTTTTTGTCTGGGTCGGCATCTGTGTGTCGAAGGCGCTTTGTAATTCCGAAATCGCCGGCTGGAGTCTACCTGCAATCGATTTGGGAGCAGACCTCTTTGCGTTGATTTTAACAACCGTAAGCAGAGCCAGCCGTCGATAGGCAATGGCAAACTTCTTCTGCTGCTCTATACCCCCCCCCCTAGTGAAGCTTAGGCCACCAACCAACTCATGCTAAGTCGTCCTGTAGCCATAATATTGCAGCTCACCACATGTCCTCCCCTTGTCCTCCCCCTGTCCTTTCCATGTCCTGTCCATGTCCTCCCCCTGTCCTTTCCATGTCCTGTCCATGTCCTCCCCCTGTCCTTTCCATGTCCTCCCTATGCTCTTTCTGTCTTTTTAACGTCACTCTGTAGCTCCCTTTTCCGTGAGTTGTGCGTGTGTGTGCGTGTGTGTGTGTGTGCGTGTGTGTGTGTGCGTGCGTGTGTGTGTGTGTGTGTGTGTGTGTGTGTGTGTGTGCGTGTGTGTGTGTGTGTGTGTGTGTGTCGTCTTGATTGCTATTTCCCTGTGAATTCCAATGCAAAGACACGCTAGTTACATAATTGTTGTGGTTTTTTTTAAACATGTGTTATATCCTTTTCTGCAACCCTTGATTCCCAGGAATCTGTTTAGTTCTCTCCGAAAACTCCATATTAGTGATTCTATCATACCATTTGATTCTATCTTTTTTTGTGCGGGCACCACTTCATGAATGTTTGTAGTTTATTAGTAAATGTTTTAGTTGTTCTCTATGTTTCTACTCCATTCAACAGTACTGATTTGGCATTAGAATTACAATTTTTAAGTTTAGTATCAGTTTTATAATTTCCGTGGACCTCTACAAAACTTCTAGTGGTATAAAATCTTCTTTTGTCTTTTGTATTCCTATTTTAATATCGCTTTCAGTTCCCCATGGTTTTTTTTTTTTTTTTTACATTACTACCAAAACAGATGTACCACTCCACATCTTGGAGTGGGATACTATTAGAGAAACCACATTACTTTTTTCCTGATTTATTCCTTATTATCTTGCCTTTTCCTGGTGGATTTTTAAACCTAATAGCTGTGATTTCAAATCAAGAATATTTACCTTGCATCTCATTCCACGGGTGGGATACAGGAGAAATGTCATCAGCGAAGACCATGTCATCTACCTGTTTTTAGTGGTCCACTGAAAGCCATGCCGGGTGGTAGACAGGCAGAAAGAAAAATAGACAGGCACACATTCCGACACACTGAGAGAAGAGAGGGAGATGCGATCAAAACGCCAACATTGTCTCCTAACACCTCCATTAACCGAAATAGTCAATCGACCCAAGAACGAAAGATCTTTTACCCAACGTAGTCAATCTACAGGAAAAGAAACTGTTGAACCTTGTTACGCCATCAACATACAAATCTTGTTTTAATTGAATTCCGTTGAAGTTAACAACTCTGGTGTTTGCACAATTGCTCACGCCGTGAAATTGTATGACCATCGGCAAATTGTAACTAACTCATCCCAAACGAAGCTCCTAAGGGATTTCCGTACACGCTTTGTGGTAGACAGACGGTAATAAACTTGTCACAACTGTATTCTCACTCATTTCACGTCTTCCTAGACGGATTTGGCAGTCCTTGGGGCCGTTGGGTCGACAAATATCGCCTGCCTCATTTCTTTGTCAATTCTCAATCTGCAAAACAGGATTCTACTCAAGCCAAGATATAATGGAAAACATGTTGGATTATTTCCCTTGACTGTTAAAGGTTGTGAGAAGTTTTCTCCCCTTGTAAATTTCGTCTGAAAGGGCGCCTATGAAGTTTTTTTAACGAAATTACCTTAGACATGGTCGGGTATATTAATATTTTGGGTTCAACATCTGTTGATACCCCTCATACATCATCCCTCCAGCGGGGTGGGGGCGGGGTCTGGGATCGCAAAGACAGGGGTTCAATAATTCAGTGTCAGGTTTAACTGATTGTTGTCTGGAATTGCGGAACTCTCCAGCACAGCAAAAAGTTTTATGTTGGTTGTTTACAAGAAAACCATCGCATCAGGCTATGAGGATGTGTCAAGGGCTTCTATTTGTTGGAGGGATAATGTACGATAAGTAGAAACAAGTATAGGTCAGAAAGGCAGACAAATAAACACATAAAAATGCAAACACTCGGACAGACAAGCTGGCATGGTAAAAGCTGTCTAATTTATAAGACAGCCGGCACCCAGATATACTTGAAGGCTACCAACAGACAGACCGTGTGGGAGACATACCTTTATATTTATGGTTTGTGATTTAGTCGGAAGGACATCTACACACAGGCTAGTAGGCAGACATGGAGGGTCTGCTTGAGGACTGAAATATCTAGAAAGGAATTATTGTTCTTTCTTTTTTTCCTCTTTAATTTATGTTCCAGTGAGAAGGACATATCGAAAAAACGAAAGAACAAACTCTTTTTTTTAAAGGTCGTATACTGGAGCACATGCAGGCTCATTCTTACATTCGTCGCTTCCAAACACTCTTTCTCTCACTTTAATCTATGTGATAATGTCTCGCCCGTGTCTTAGCTGATTTCTAAGGGTTTGTTCTTATTGAAGACGTGATCGACACTCTTAGACACAGGTGGTACGAAAAGACGATATCTCAATCTTCTTCTTCTTCTTCTTCTTGGATCCTTCTGTCAGAAAACTTATCTCAGGGGACCGGTAGCCTTTATGAAAGCTATCGTGCAATCCATATCCTCTCGTGTACCATACAGTTTTGTCTTCATTGTGGTTGGGACAGGCCAGATTGCGTCTCTGTTGTCAGCATACAGTTGACAGTGTTGGAGCACATGCTCAGCATTTTCGGGTGCCACGCTGCAGGGACACATCTCCATGTTTCCTACACCGAAAAATTTGAACATATGTTGACGAAATCTGTTGTGCCCAGTCCTTAGTCTGAATAATATGCTTTATTACAATTTCACAAACCATTTGTCCAGTCAGTGTCCACTACAAACTAGCCAGTCCAGCATTATAATATGACACTGTTCAGACATCAACTTGGAGTATTCTCTCGTTCGCACTCAATACCTCTCAGTGCTCTTTCCTCACATTCAGAATACAGGCCATGGTGGCTCAGGCAGTTCTAAGCATGGTGGTTCCACTTTTTGAGCAATCGCAAACTGGTTGGTTGCCACTTCGGATCAGATCATCGTCAGGCTGTCCTCTTGTTGTCTTCTCTCAGAACAGAACTCCTCACGTCGCAAAATACACTGTCACATTTACACTGAATCTCAGGTACACTGTCACATTCACACTGAATCTCAGGTACACTGTCACATTCACACTGAATCTCAGGTACACTGTCACATTCACACTGAATCTCAGGTACACTGTCACATTCACACTGAATCTCAGGTACACTGTCACATTCACACTGAATCTCAGGTACACTGTTACATTCACACTGAATCTCAGGTACACTGTCACATTCACGCTGAATCTCAGGTACACTGTCACATTCACACTGAATCTCAGGTACACTGTCACATTCACACTGAATCTCAGGTACACTGTCACATTCACACTGAATCTCAGGTACACTGTCACATTCACACTGAATCTCAGGTACACTGTCACATTCACGCTGAATCTCAGGTACACTGTCACATTCACACTGAATCTCCGGTACACTGTCACATTCACACTGAATCTCAGGTACACTGTCACATTCACATTGAATCTCAGGTACACTGTTACATTCACGCTGAATCTCAGGTACACTGTCACATTCACACTGAATCTCAGGTACACTCTTTCGCTCTAGCTGGCAAACACAGACTGTCTGATTATACCTTTGACTAATCTTTTAAACTTGTGCTGGGTTCCACGTGGCTTCACGTGTTCGTCTACCCTGCTTGAGTACCTCGTGTTTCTACGAGTATTTGCGTTATCCCGTTTTTCTGTCGTATCTTGAGGTTTCAACCTCACATTATTCCCCAGGTAATCCTCGTGTGAAAATACCAACATTACAATCTACGTATCTATAAAACATGTTTTGTTCCTATTAAAGTACAAACGCATGTATATTAAATGCATACTTTCGAATACACATAAAGACGGCTGGACGGACAGACAGACGGACATATAGATGTACTCTCACACATAACCATACGTAAACAATCACACACACCACGCATACACACACAGTCACACACTCTATAAACACATACAACACACACACTCATACATGTTCATACATACACTCTCAAACACGCACCCTATTACATGCATACACACACCCATACACTCTCATACCAACACACTCTCGTACAGACATGCATATCCATGTATCAATATTGGCTCTATATAGATATTAAGGTTCGATTCCAGCTGCGGGCCATGCGCCTTGCGTTGGTTTCGACAGTGGTATCAGGGAGTCGACCGTCCAGCGAGCAATCGCAAACTACTATACGTAAATTTGCCCAGAGAAACCACACAACAGCCGGGAGCTGTTGGGGTTTGTTCTGCAACGTCCTGTGAAGGATAGGCAGCTAACCTATAGGTATTAAGTGTAGCCGGTTTCACCAACTTTGGGGTAGTAAAAGTGCTTTAACATAGAAACAAAATATTTTGTACGCCTTCAGGGTCAAGTAGGGGCAGAACTTTATTTTATACACCACTCGGCACTTCCTGGGTCTTGTGGTCAACATCATGCCGGCCGCCTTTACTTCTCATGACTTTATCTGGTACTCATTCAAGGCTGGGTCGACCTGGAAGGAAAGGTTTTTGTGTGTGTGTGTGTGTGTGTGTGTGTGTGTGTGTGTGTGTGAAATATATCTGGCTCCGTCAGGACCCGAACACACGACCTTCCGATCTGTAGGCAAGAGTCTAGCCGTTACACCACAGGGGCTCCAAACTTTGGGATAACATTCAACAGAAAAGTAGGTAAAGATCATGTGGTGAAATAACCAGCACAAAGAAATGCAAATATCCCACAATGAACCTGCATCTCCACAGATCTACTCCATGGACTGTTACTTCCGGCAGAAGTGGACCGACCGCAGACTCTCCTTCAACGCTTCCCTGGAAAAGCTCACCAACGTCTCCCTGAACGTCATCATGCTGGAGCGTATCTGGCGCCCGGACACCATCTTCATTAACGGCGGGCCGTCTTACGTGCACACCATCACAACACCAAACAAATTCTTTAGACTCTCCCATGACGGCACCATTCTCTACTCGCAGAGGTGAGTGTGTGCACGTGTATTCTATCCGTTTGTGAAACTTGTTGAAGGTTAAAGGTTAAAGTCAAGAGGATCGACTACATTGCACCGGGTTATTCTCCCATAAGCTCGGTCTCTCTCCACGAAAGGCTAGCCGACTACCGAGAGCGCCACACAAAGAATAGATTCCATAGCTCCAGCGACGATCCTCAGGGATGGTAAATATTTCACTCATGAACTGAACGACATAGCCGTGAATCGAACCCACTGCCTTCAGAGCTCGAGGTAAACGGATTAACGATGTCGCACTACGATCCCTACCTCGTAAAACGTGTATGTTGTAACAATGACTACTGCTGCTGCTGCTGCGACTAAAACAAGCACTATCACTTCTTCTACTGCTACGATTACTACTACTAATGTATCTACTAAGATTACTTCTACGACTACTTATGAATGGTCGTAGACCGAGAGGCAGACCAAGAAGACGATGGAGAGATAATGTCAAGGTCGATCTGCAAACACTTGGTGTCCCCAAGTGGAAAGAGCAGGCTAACCAGAGAGATGAACGGAGGCAAGTGGTATCTGTAGCAACGAAACCCTCTGCATTAAAAAAAAAAAACTTAAGGGTTCGGAAAGCTGAAGAAGAAGTAGAAGAAGATGACTAACGCGTCAACAGATACTACTACTTCTGCTAGTAATTCTACTACTAATGCGTCTATTGAAAATATTACTACTGCTGCTACTGCGACTATTGCATCTGCTGCTAATATTACTACTACTTCTGATGCTGTCGCTACTGCTACTCCTCCTGATTCTGTTGCTACTACTACTGTCGCCGCTGACAGTGATAAATATGTATATGATTCATTGTCACCAACACAGCGTTTCGTAGTTTAAAATATCACGAATTATGTGCCAGTTTTCAGTGCTCATGAACATACGCCAGAGGTCACATTTGTGAAATGTGAAAAACTTGACCTGGACCCACCCACGTTGGATTACTTCCCAACCTTCAGGTGCCCTAATATAAATGTGTCGTACTGTCGAACAGGATTTCTTGCATTGTCTCCTAGTAGATTCTCATCCGAATGATGGATCTTCGAGTAACAGGGTGGTATTTTCTGAGGGTGGAATTTTTTGAAGAAAGAACTAAACACTTGCTGCTTTCTTGATTTTGTTGATTAACTTGTGTTGATTCAGACTGACCATCAAGGCTAGCTGCCCAATGCATCTAGAGAAGTTCCCCATGGACACACAGCAGTGCCCACTACACATCGCTAGCTGTGAGTAAGAGTCTACATGTTCTCACTTTTGTTACTCTTATTTCTACTTCTACTACGATCATTACTCTTATTATTTTTACAGATGTTTTTATCTTTTCTTTTTTTAACCCTTCAGCCAGAAAACGTACACCAGAAGGTCAGTAGCCTTCATGAAAGCTATCGTGCAGTCCAGATCTTCCTGTGTACCATATATCGTTGTCTTCATTGAGGTTTGACTATGCCAGATTGTCTATCTGTTAGAAGCATATAGTTTACAGTGTTGGAGCACACGCTCAGCATTTTCTGATGCCAAGTTGCCAGACATCTTCTTGGCCGAAGGGAGGGCCACGCTTCAATAGGCCTAATCCTTATTTATATTAATTAATAATAATAATAATAATAATAATATAATAATAATAATAATAATAATAATAATAATAATAATAATAATAATAATAATCTGCTGAAGTGTAAATACTTATAATACATTTGAAATAATTTGAAATGTAAAAACAAATTCTGTTAAGTATAATTTATATACATGGTTAAATGGGCATGCATAGACCGGGGGGGGGGGGGGGGGGGGGTGATGTACATCATTATTCACTTCATTATCGTAATCATCTTTAAAGGCTCTCACCGTCGGCCACAAGCAACCAGGCTTCTTGGCATCTTGCTACCTCCAACAGTGTGTGGTAGTGGCGTCTATCATTACCTTTCAGTATTTTTGATTACCTTACAGCACTTTTCATTACCTTACAGCACTTTTCATTACCTTTCATTACCTTACAGCACTTTTCATTACCTTTCATTACCTTACAGCACTTTTCATTACCTTACAGCACTTTTCATTACCTTTCATTACCTTATAGCACTTTTCATTACCTTTCATTACCTTACAGCACTTTTCATTACCTTTCATTACCTTATAGCACTTTTCATTACCTTTCATTACTTTTATTAACACTCGTTGGTAACTACATTACTAACTGAAGAAAACAGTGCAGCGGGGACTGCTCTAGGGATCTTGCTGACAGTCAACACTGAGGAGAAAGGTGGGATAGGACATCAATTAGACTTTTACTGATACCATTGGAACTGAAACTCGGCGCTAGCTACTGAACGTAGGGATAGGGCGCGCCAGGGAATGTCCTCTGTGCTTTATCGATTCTTAATTCATCCAATTTTTTTGTTTACCAGCAAGGTATTCTACAATGTTAACATTCTTTGGAGAATTGCTAGCCTTGGAAATGAAATGATCAGAATAGATCAAATCAGGAATGCGATCGTAAGATAAACACTGGGCAAAAGAGAAATGCGAAAAGACTGCAATTCAAAGATGGTTTGCTTAGATGGAGAGAATGCTTTGTGACGTAATATCATACAAGGCACACACCAAACGAGCAGAAGGACTTAGATCAAGAGGTAGACCAAGAACAAATGGATAGATAACATCAGAGAATCCCTAGCACAGCATGATGTGTCTGCGGTCGGGGACGGACAGAATGGCAAAAAGCCGAACTTTATATCTCCTTCGACACACTAAGCAGTAACAGATGATGTGAGGAAAAAGAAGTAGAATATTCTTTGGGCCCTACAAACATTCAAGAGGCACTGCATCTGGAATTATCTGAAAGTTATGATTTGCGTCTCTGAATACAAATATATTCAGAAGGAAGCATTTGAATTGATTTGAATACAAGCGCTCCATATTTACTTGCTAGTCCGTCCGCATTCATCTCTTATAAATCTTCCTTTCATAAAAGTGTATTTTCTACGTCTGCTTAGGGACATGCATAAACGTGGGTTGCCTTCAAATAAATGGCCGCATTCGCGTCTCCATAGAAACTGGAATCCAGAACTGAAGACGGTCAATCACTTCTCGCCGTCCGAGATTTCGGGGCAGACATCTTTTCATTCGTCATTATTTGATATTCTCTTTAAATTACAATAATTTTCTCTGCCGTCATGTCTTTCCAGTTAATATTTTCCTTAATATTTTAATTTATGACATTTTCTTGTTTCTGTGAAAGGAACTTAATTGTACGTCTCTTTAGCGTTTCAGTCATAGGTTAATTGTGTGTGGGTGCGCATTCCCGTGTGTATATTTTTGTATATACGGGGAGGGATGGCATCGGTTTGTTGTTGTTGTTGTTGTTGTTGTTCTTCTTCTTCTTCTTCTTCTTCTTCTTCTTCTTCTTCTTCTTCTTCTTCTTCTTCTTCTTCTTCTTCTTCTTCTTTCTTTGTTCGTCCTTAAATATTCTATTATCACATTGTCTTGTGGCTTACAGCTAGGCTGCGATATATGCGCCTTTTAGCCCATCGAATCCAATGTCAGTAAGTAATTGGTTGCCTTGACCATACGCTTGTTAAGGGTCAGGGAATCAATGCTATTTCGCCGAAACGTCCAGAAGTCCACGAAGTGAGAGTCTATTTCACAACAAAACTATCTGTCTGCTGACCGAACGGTCAAACACTTGGCTCTCCTCTGAAGATCAGGGTTCGAAACTTCGGTAAAGTGCTTCAAATGCTATGTCGGAAGCTAGAATTAAAATCCTATCCTGCAGTCACGGTCAGACGACGAAGAGAAGAAGCTATCAGAATATGGACACAACTCATACGACTTGTTCAGCTTTGTTACTATTACCTTTTTTTTTAATCCTCCTATTGCTAAATTATTCAAAATAAGTAGAACCACTAAACATGTGGACTGGCCACACAACGGTTGTGTCCTCAGCCGGTTCTCAGCCCAAGCTTACTCCATGTTGTACCCGTGGTTTCTGTGGCTCGGGTGTACACCATGACACTCACATGCTCACTGCTTTGATGGCATCCCCACATTCAACCAATCTCCACCCATTTCATGATCATAACCAGATTCTCTTTCGGTGTCCCTCTTTTGGCATTCTTTCTTACTACTACTACTGCCGCCACCACTTTATCTACTACTACTACTACTACTACTACTACTACTACTACTACTACTTACTACTACTACTACTACTACTACTACTACTACTACTAATACTACTACTACTACTACTACTACTACTACTAATACTACTACTGCTGCTGCTGCTGCTGCTGCTGCTGCTGCTACTACTACTACTACTACTACTACTACCACTACTACTACTACCACTACTACTACTACTACTACTACTACTACTACTACTACTACTACTACTACTACTACTACTACTACTACTACTACTACTACTACTACTCCTACTGTTTCTTGTACTAAAGGCCGTGAAATCATTTTTACTGAGTCTAATTGTCTCTCTATCTGTCTGCCTGTCCTCTGCTTGTCTGGATTACGTATTTGTGTGTCAGGGTTTGAGGTCGGGTATGGTTAGCGACTGGATGTATTTATGGAATGAGGAATGAGTGGATAGACAGAAAGATATATGCAGGCTTGATTACCTTTCTGACTTAGGTGCATGTCACAAGTCGGGCGATCATCTTTAAACTGTCATTATGGCATCACTTTGTTCGTCTGCACGTGCGTAACACTCTTGACATCCTTAAGCATAATATAGACAGGTTGCAAGACAGTAGGGTCATTGTAATTTATTTCACAATTTTAGGAATTTCATTTGATGCCCCGCGTAATTGGAAGGGCCTTATTTAGTACAGGCCGGCGGGCCTAATTTATAATTTCTGGAAAATAATTTTCATTCATTCTTTCCTTCATTCTTTTGCAGATAATTAAAATTGTACAGTAAGGAAATAATTGGATTCGAACAATTAGTTGCCTCTTCAAACCTAGTGTATCCATATTATGGTTCATCATCATCATCATCATCATTGTTATTATCATCATCATTATCATCATCATTATCATCATCATCGATGGTCGTCGTCGTCGTTATAATCATCATCCTTATCATTATCACTATCCTCCTGTGCCGTAATACGCCACGTTGCTTCTATTTTCTCTCCAATTCCGTTCTATCAAGGGAAGCTATTTTAACATCAAGGAAGGAATACAGTGCAGCTCTTCTGGCCTTGAAGATCATTATTCGTCCTGGGGTTTGCTGCAGATGTCCTAGTTTCCTCACTTCATTTGTTTCCCTTTTAAGAATGATTGTCCATGTCAGTTGTCAGCTCCTTGACCACAAGTGGTCTGACGGTAGAGGCCATGGCAGTGACCAGAGCAGTAACATGACTGGTGACACCCCCCCCCCCTCTCCACCCCAAGCTTTCTCGGTGATGTAGTGAGGATGTTCAGGAAGATACATATGTGTTTGGTCTGAAGACAGTGGTTAGTCTCTGAAGCTGTCGGAGCTGACACTTATAAGCTGCATATGTTTGAAAGGGTACTCAGGCGTGCAGGGAAACGAGCAAGCAGACAGGCTTGAAGGTGAAGCTACTGTTGAGGACGGACGAGCCATACACGAGGCTGCTATTCTGAATGCTCTGCTTGAAGTATGACGTTTGAGAGAACCACGCGAGAGCTGTGAATCTACAGCTATGACCGGACTGCAAAACGGCGTGGGAGTCGCAGTGGCAGAGCGGCTAGACGCGCGCCGCGGATCGGAAGGTCGCGGGTTCGCTCCCTGGCGGAGCCGAACTTTTCTTCAAAAATGACCTTGGCCCTCAGGTCGACCAAACCTTGAGTGGGTACCGGGTGTAGTCCTGGGAAGTAGATGCAGCCGGCGGGATGCTGACCACATCACCCATCTTGTGCCGTTGGTCTATAAAATATAGGTCTAGCCCTATATGCCCTATAGGCCTAAAGGCGTGGAAAAGGGTCCTTTACTATTTTTTACTTAAAAACGGTGTGACCAGACAAGAGCACTTACAAGAATCCAAAGTAGAATACGAAACCAACATATAACCGGTATCGTTAACCAATAAACGCTGATGGATTTACTTAGAGGTGGTCCGAGAAATTATGGAGTGAATAGTCTGTTGTGCACTGAGGAAATTTTGTCGACTAATTACCTAGCTAACTTATTATTATTATTATTATTATTATTATTATTATTATTATTATTAATATTATTACTATTATTATTATTATTGTGCTTACTTAGTCGATCGTCCTACACTAGGGTCTAGAGTTTTGCTAGAGAGATTACCAGATTTCTCTATCAGACGTTACAGTTTTGGCTTTTGTTTCAGTCCATTCCTCTGTCAGTCAGGGACTGTCAGATGTTATCTTTCCAGCAAATCAGTGGTCGCTCTGGAGGTCTGGCTCTTGGACCCCTATGCCCGTGGTGATGGCCGATTATTTCCCTTCCTGCATACATGTCCAGACCAGCGGAACTGTCTGATCCACTCGAGTTTGAGAGGTGGTCAGGGGGATTGTTCTGAATGTCGTGGGTTCATTTCACGACTGCGTCTTACAGCTCACAAATGCAATTTTTACTAAAATCCCTGTGGACCGTCGCAGGAGCTACGGAGTTCGTGCTCTGTGCGATACTCTCGGTAGGCGCTAGCCATTCTGGTGAAGAGAGACCGAGTCATATGGGGCTAAAACTTGGTGCTCACTCACACACAGACACACACTCACACGCGCGAGTGTGCACTGACACACAGACATACACGCACACACGCGCGAGTGTGCACTCACAAGCAGAAACACACGCACACACGCGCGAGTGTGCACTGACACACAGACACACACGCACACACGCGCGAGTGTGCACTCACAAGCAGACACACACGCACACACGCGCGAGTTTGCACTGACACACAGACACATACGCGCGAGTGTGCACTCACACAAACCTGATATTTTTCCCTTTTCATGATTCGGCAGTTGGTTACCCCGTCTCTGACGTCATTTATGAATGGCACTACGGGAATAATCTGGCCGCGGTGACAGCCAATGACATGCGACTTTCCCAGTTCGACCTCCAGGGTATGCCAGCTTGTAACATCACCAGGGCTTTCAAAGGAG